AGCAAGTCCTTCTGGGAGGTTCAGCTCTCCACCAAATGGACTCCCCACACCGTCAGAGGAAGGCGAGGGCTTTCTGATGCAAAATAGGAAGCAGGAACAGCAAATCATGAAGGAATGGCAGGACTGCAGCAGCCCTCAGTTCATAGAGCCATGGAAACATTAAGCCTGCTTCATGCTACTAAAAATAAGGCCCTGTCACCTCTCCCCCACATCAAAAAGTTTACCACGTTATCCAGTAATCACTGCCAAGACATTTGGCTGCTGCGCTGCTCTTCGTGCAGAGCTTCCTGTCTGATCATTCACCCTGAGAGACTTGTATGGGAAGTGACAAAACAGGCATCACACAGGAATTTCCTAAAATGCTCCTAAGGACAGCAGCATCCTTTTTCTGCTACTGTATCACTTATTAATTTCGTTACTTGAATTGAATAAGCAGCAAACAATGGATTGCACAGCATGACCAACGTTTCAACAGGGAAACTACGCAAGGCAGCACGACATTCTCATTTGTAATAGCAAAAATGTAAAACCAACACACCATGCAGGAATGAATTAGAAAGAGCTATTCAAGACAGTCAAACTTGCATGCAGAATTTATTGTGGTTTATTAGATGGCTAATAAAAAAAATGAAATCTTCTCCTAATATCTTTCCAATCTCAAGCTTTTGCTAGTCTTAATTACAGAGCAACAAATTATGTACAGCATTACATTATTATTAACTATGTTCTTTTTTTAACTAAGTCTAAAGCATGGTTAAACATTCTTAAATTATTTTTTTCTCTATATTTCACAATGGAATTCACAGCACACAAAGTTCCCAGGGTAAAACTTAAGATATCCTTCAGTTTACCCTAAGTAGCTGAAAATAAACCACAAGGAAAATTTACAACCACACCTATAAGGAAAACTCTAGAAATTCACTTACTTAATAAACAAGCTCCACCTCATCACACTTGCTGAAAGCAGTCTTTTAGAAGGAAATGCTTTTAGCTTATTTAACTGAAAAACAAACCACTCTGACAGTACTATGGCCCCTTCACAATATTCTCTCCTGTTATATAAAGAAAATGTGTTGTATATAGGTGTGACTAAACCCAGAAATACTATCAAGATACATCTCTGGTAACAGGGACTAAACACGAGGACAATTCGTGAATGAGTGCATACCAAGCACCACTAGAAAAAATGTTCCAATTTGTAAAAATCATGTCATATACAGCACATTTACTTTCCCATACAACTAAATTTAAAGATATTCAAGACTGAAAAGTCTAAAATCACTATTACAGGCAAGATCCAAATGTAGGATCAAAATGAAACAAGCTTCTACTGAAACATTATCTCCTACCCATCACAACTGTAAAATTCTACGTCGTAGTGACAAATGATATACAGAATTTGACAGGGAGCATCACTGAATAATTCTGTGTTGTAGTTGTCTTCCAAGAAGATGGAGGCAGCAACCAAGTAAAACTACAGCTGCCCCAACTTAAGAAAAGCAATAGAAAAATCTGAACAACACAGATTCCAGACCAACTTAGAATAGCTAAGTAGAAACCAGAAATACACTCTTTTCCTCAGAAAGGAAACATGTGGAATCAAAAGAAAATGGAGCAAATAGTATCTGTCTGTAATTTGAATTCTCATATGTGCCTCATCCCTTACAAAAGCAGCTAGTATAAAGGTGATTTAGCAATTAAACTAGACCTGTCATCTGTAAAATGCAAGGAATATCTAGATAAACTCATTCAGCTAGAAACATTTATTCATCACTTCTTACAAAATGCAGAAGGCTTAACATTTCTGGCAGAGGAGTTTGGCCCTACAGCCCAGGAGCTCCAAGAACAACTTCAAACCCTTAATGATGCTCTGGTTTGGTATATTATACTTCTTTATTATGTATGCCCCCTATCCAGGTTTTGAGTTTTTTCTTCTGTTCTGCAGTGAGCAATCAATCCAGAGCATCTTTTGCCTTTCCTTTGCAGAGAACCACCCATCCGCCCTTAACTCATGCAAGTAACAAACAACTCTCAAAGCTCCCACAATAAAGAGAGATCAATGATCTGGAGGATTCACTTCAGAAGGAGGCATAAGGACAGTACAACTTGATGTGATCCCAAAAATCTGCAGACTGCTTTATTAATTCTGCCTTTTTTGAAGAAAAGCATGAAAGAAGTAATACTGTATGATCTTGCAGGTGTAGATAAAGACCAGTATCTCACTGAGCTATGGGAAGAGGAAGAGAATTAATCCTAGGGAACTTGAAGTACAGCCAAAATTTTTTTAAAAATTGCTTCATACTAAAGAAATGTAAATTAAATACAAATGAGTAATAATGAAAAAAAAAAAGTTGGCCTTTCTCCTCAAGGAGGAAAAAAAATGGCTTGCTCAGCCAATCTTCCTCAAGTTGTGCTTTTCATTTCTAAAGATAAACTACTTGACTATATCACTATCTTGGTAAAATATAGGAGAAAGTGAAAAGGGAAAATATTAATGCACATCCAGAAGGAAAAAAATCACTAATGATCCAGATTCATAAATGTAAGAAATACACTTTAGTACTGAAATAGTATCTGTTCACCCAAGTACATTCAAATAGAAATCCACTTTAAGAAATGTGCCTATTTCTGCACTGTTTTAGAAAATGTAATTAGGCTTTTTAACATCTTGAGTACAAAAAATAAATGATCATTCAAAAAAAATAGCAACGAATTTCCATCTCTGAACACTAGAACACGAGCAAGTTTCTGAAATTTATCTAAAACCCCAATGCATTGCCACATTGTATGGCATGATGAAAATGAGTCTTCTCTCCTACATAGTCCCAAATTTTAATCAAGCTGGAGAGAAGAGAAATACATAACTTTTTTTATTTTCCAATTTAATCCTTTATATGAAAAACACTAACAGTTGCAGGTATTCTACCACATGAAAGGAAATTTTACTTTTTCCATTCTTACATTTTAGAGTATCTTTGGAATCTTCCAATATCCAGTTTTCCCTTCTATTTTTGTAATTCACTAGGATTTCCCTTTTTTCCTTATGCTTACCCTGATTATTTGAAGGTTTATGACTACCCTCACAGAAGTTTTCAATTCCTATCTTTTAACACTAAACTGCATTTTTCAGCTCTCAAACTGCCTGAAGCCACCATTCCATTTTTCACACTAATTGAACAGATGCAATAGGTAGTACAAACCCAAGTTCACCTATACACTAATTCATTAGTATGTACTACACATACCTGTTCCAGCAAGGCATACTTTTTAGAAATTAGAGCCAACAGACCTTTAACTCTTGTGCAAGTAATATGTACCACCCAAATCTCTATGCATATGCATAATATGTAAAGATGGTAATGAAGTGAATGACAAAGGGCATTTCAAGTGATGTTCTATTCGGACAGTAGTTAGCTCTGTGTTGTTATTTTTCATTAAAGGGGAAAAACAATTATTTCTGTAATCAGGATTACAGTGCTTCCCCAATTAGGCTACTGCATGAGGCAGAGTGCTTTCATGACAAAGAGCTGGCTGTCACTTTCACAATGAAAGAACTACTAATGCATTGCATTTTTTTGAGGCTCAGAACACACCCATCCCACAGTTCCACAAAACAAGGGTAACACAAACATACACAGACTATACACACCAGTACTTCAGGCATACTGGGGGTTTGTAACCTATCATCCTGAAGTTGACCCTCCAGTCATATTAGTCAACAGTAAGGGGGAGGTAGAAGAATGAACCTGACAAAATTAATTCACACAGAAGTTTGGTTTCTAAACTATTTGCTCTGTAGTAGCTAAAGAATGAACATAAGGGTTTCAAAGTTTTGCCCACATAAAAATCCTGGCTATAAATTCAATCTTAAACTCAAGGTCTCTTTAGTATGTGAGTAAATTCTGAAGATCTACTTTCTCTAGTTGTCTGCTGCTTTCAGAAATTGAAAATTGCAATGTCAAGATATTTAAATCCCTATTTTTGTACCTCCGGCTTAATATTCTACCGTTTTTTGGTAATTCAGAAATTAAGTCTCTCTCCCTATCTTTAGTAATTTCTAAAAATGTCTTCTGAATAAATCTGCTTATAGAGACAGCATGTGTTACCACAAGTTTCCTCACAGCCAGCATCTATTAGCATTCACTAAGTACCCAAAATCAGTAGGCCATTTTAATACCACCTACCACTTTCTTTTGCAAGATAGTCTCAATTTTCCTTGTAATATGGAAAATTTTTCCATCACAGAAAAAGATCTAATTTATTCTTATCATTTTACAGGGGCACAGAAGTGGTGGTAAAGACACAAGTTAATGGCAAGGGGTGCACTATACAGCCACACTTGAGTCACCTTGCTTTGAGTGAGAATGCAGAGAAGATCTAAGAGAAGTGCTCTCACAGAGTAATTCTGGTCTCTGAAAAAGTATTCAAGTCATCTAGATGAGCAGAACCCAGTTTATACTATCAGGAAATGAGAAAGACAACCATTTTTCAGTTTCACTACTTTCATTTTTCCCTCAGTATACTGACAGCAAAGTTTTTTGATACTAAAGGGTTTTGTTCTCTTTGCAAAATGTTTAATGTGATGATCTAAAAAAACATGCCTTTGTTTCTTAAAGTATCAGAATCATCTAGAAGTGAAACATAAAAGCATGTCATACTTCCCCAGCCTTAAAGTGAAGAATACTAATGCTGAAGGAGAGAGAAATGTAGTGTTTGTAACAGTTCAGCATTGCGCCTTTTAAAGGTGATAACTATTTCCTGTATCTGTATCTCAGACAAAAAAAAAGGCTCTTTAAAAAAATCTCTCTCTATTCTCTTCTAAGGAATAATTCAATCTGGGATGAGGCAGTTTAAAGATCACTAGAGTATTACAAAATCATATCTCAACTTCCTTTTAGGATGCTACTCTGCAAGCTTACTCTTACTCCTGTAGCAAATTAGGTGTATTTCAAAAGTACCTTCTGAAAATGGAGATCAAAGGCTTGCATACAAATACTTACTGCAGGTATCAGTAACTTTTTTACTTCCTCAACAGCCCTCTTCAGCTTTATTTCTGCTCTGTTTTGCGCATCCTCCACAGTGATAAGTACATGTAAATCTTCATTCAGGTGTTCCCAGTTGGGCTTGCCTCGATTCTGTTCTTCCTAAAAAAATTAAAACATGGAAGCTATGAAGCACTTACATTCTGTATAAAACAACCACAAAGAGTAGACAAATTCAAATTTATAAATTCTGTAAATAGTATGAACTTTATTCTCAGCAGTGTTTCTTCATACTTTGGAGACTTTCGTATCATATGAACTTTGCCTTCAAAATATCATTTTTGGGGTTTTGTTTTGTGTTTTGGAACCTCCTAATATATATTATACTTTTAAAGACCGCAATACATATGCTATTTCTTAAGAGTACCTCCTCCAGCTGAATAAAGGAACAAGAATAGGAATACAAACACAGTATTACTTTCAATATTATTTAGAGCCTTTCAAGAGTTAAACAGGTAAGACATACTAGTGGCTAAGCAACCTATCTTTTGAAGAAAAGTGAAACAGACACCAGACATAGAAACTCCATCTGAATCACTACAAAGAACAGGAGAGCAATTCTCCAGCATTAAGAATCACTTTCAAATACTCATGAAGACAAGATTCAAAGAATCAAACACTCCCAAAGGAACAGAAGTTGCCATTTTCAAAGGAGAGCTCCATGTACTGGATGAAGGAAAGAGAGGAGGAGATGACAAGGCTTTAATACTAAAGTTATGTAAGGGCAAGTGACAAGATGGTCACCATTACACAGGTACTCATCACATCCATGGCATTAGTAATCCCAAAGATAAATATTAGAAATGTTTTCAGAAAGATATAGCATGCTAAAAGAAGCATTTCAATTTTAAACAACAGAAACCAATAAATTTAAGTAACACATTCAAGTATCCAGTCTTCCAAAAAATAGGATAATGAAACACAACACAGAAGAAATTTCCCACCTCTTTTTTAAAAAGTTAATAAAGCTAGCTAGATTTTCATGAAACTTCATTGAATTTTGACAATATTTAAAATATAATACAATTAAAAAAAAATGGGGCCTCAAAAAAAGCTTATTACAACTTTGAATCTATAAAAAAGCCTACATAAACAAATGTTACTTATTTAAAATTTAAAAAGCTGAGTATAATAGAAGAGTCTCCTATTTGTAAGATAAACCCTTGTGGCTTAACCACAATTCACACTTTAACTTCATCCTTTTTTTTTTTTTTTTTTTTTTTAAATTCCAAATGTGTCTTTTTCCCCAAATTTCATGAAAAATTCCTCCAGGAAATCAGATACATTGAGGAAATGTTCTAAGATTTAATACCAACAAATATTTGCAGTGCCTAGTATTCATATATACCTGAGGGAGCATTGCTCCTCAGAGTGTTTCATTTTTAATTCAGCTAAGTCTGAAATGTTTTGTGGAATACGCAAGGATAAAAACAGGGGGTGGGGGGGAACTGAACCATGAGAGATGTATGAAAAATGGATGTAAAGGAATCAGTACTTTGAAACTACTTTTCACTATGTATGTAACGTGCACATATCCATTACTCCACACTATATCTCACTTATGATATAATACAGAAAGTGATGCAAAGTGCAGCTGAGTTAAAATATCCTCTCTGTTGAAATACAATCTTTGAAAGAACTGTCTATGACAAAGTATTTGCAACTTATTTATTCAATCGTAATCAAAACTCCACTGTTACTTAATAAACAATTCCATTTTTCTTAATCCAAAGCAGGAATGAGCTGTTTTCTTTTAAGATGGTGACAAGCAACACCAATACGAGGTAGTATATAAAATAATATGTAACAGGTATGAAGAATGAGAGAAGGTTCCTAAACCAGCAGAGGGCAGAGGAAGAAATGTGCAACTACCTATTCTTGCACTGACCCAGTGTTGGAATGGAAAAGGTCCTGGTTACTAACACCAGATGCAAGAAACCTGCACAACTCCAGTAACATGGGAGGCAAAACAAATAAAACAAATCTTAAAAGGCCAAGAGGAATAAATGTTAAGGAAAGGTGTCCCCAGGTAAAGCAGCAAATTGTGCTCCTGAAAGACAAGGAATGCCTCAATGCAGTTTTAGCTACCAAGCCATTAAACACCATGCACCGTGTTTATAGATAGTGTTAGCAAACATAAAGGGGCTTTATGGTGGTCTATCCTTTTCTCTCATAATGAAAACAATATGCTGCAAAGTCTCCAAAACTTGTGTCAGATTAATGTTACATCAAGTATTGGCACTGTACTCCAAATTAGTCTGTTGCAGCATGAGAATTTTTTCCTCAATTTAAAAAGAGAAAAAGCTGCATATAGGACAAACGAGTTGCATATAGGACAAAGTAATAATACTGAAGATTTTTTTATCCCCCTAATTAACTTTTAGGTAGAACATGTTGTGTGTGAGGTTTATAATCACAGGTATTATTAGGGTGAGACCTCACAGCACAAGCAATCATACAAACTACTTATCAGTAAGATAACTGATTAGTGTATGACTATGATAAGCTCTTCTACAGCCATAAAGTAAGTAATAAAAGTCCTGTTGTTAAGGGTGGTATTTATTACACCACATGGCAGGATTGAAAGAAATGCTAAGAAGAGTAAAATTTCACACACTGCTTAAAAAAGAAAAGAAAAACCAGAGTTTGGAACGTGCTTCCAATTTATGTTTGTGAATCTCAATACACTGGGGTTATGATTTCACCCAGTGCTCCCATTCTGTCTCGTGAGATGGTTTTCTTAGTGGGTTAACAGTTTTTTAAGAAATGTCTTTTGTTTGACTGAAAATGCTAGTTGAATGTTATACCAGTGTGTATATTTGATTATTTACATGTTTGGTTTTATCCAAGTTGGAAATTCAGGTCTCTACCAGCTCATTCATTCCAACAGAAAGGCGCAAAACACAGAGATAGTAATGAAAGAGAGATAATCTGCAAACCTCTTGCACTTAAGAGCTACCATTTTTTAAGCTACTTCATTCTCTTTTTAAATCCTAACAGGATGGTTTGGAAAAACATGTTTTCCCCCAAGTAAAATCTTTATCTATAGTCAACTAGTCCTCTGTGCAACAAGTCTTGAACACATCTTTTCTCAACCATGTTTTGTTGTAGTAAAGCCTGAACAGGAAAGTTGAATATATCTGGAACACAAGTAGGAAGATATCTTTCTGAAGACTCACGAAACATGTTCCAAGATTTTACAGGCTGATTAGGGTTTTCTTTTGAATTTTTGGGGGAGAAAATGGTGAAAAAACGGGGAGGAAAGAATTACTAGAACTTGCCTCATTGCCTAACTTGGTACAAAGAAGCTACAAGATGTGGTCTTGAAATGAAGTGCAGATAAGAGAAACCAGTTCACTTCAGAGATTCACAAAATGTGTGGGGTGGGAAGGAACCTTGAATATCATCCAATCCAAGCCCCCTGCTCAGCACAGGGTCAGCTCAAGCATGTTGCTATGGGTCAGGTTTTAAGTATCTCCAAGGACAGACACTCCATCCCCTCCCCTGGGAGACCTGTTCAGTGTTCAACCAGTGCTCAGTCACAACAGCAAAAAAAAAAGCTTTTTCTTAGGTTTAAACATAATTTCTTTTCTTTCAGTGTGCACATTGCCCCTTGTCCTTCAGAAGCAACTGTTGATCCATTCAGCCTAGTTGCCAGGTTTACCTATTGAAAAAGCTCTCAGGAGTAATAGAAACTGCCATGAGAATTATTTTGGGAAAGAAACATTTGCTACCACAGCAGGAAGGGCACACACACTGAAGGAAGAAACAGCATCAGGGAAATCAGAAAACCTGACTAAGACCTGGGGAAAAAGGAATTCAACTGCATATATTTAAAAATTATAGTACATACACAAGAAGCAATCGGTAGCATCAAGTCTTCCTGCATCCCAGGGACTGTCTATGGAAGAATTATACAGGAAAAATGGAGACTGAAGATGTACTACAGATGAGCTATAAAGTAAAGTGATTTACACCACAACCTTGAGGAACAACAATATTAGGAGAGCTTAATTATAACCAAACTATCTTGTCTGCTAAATTAAAGAACGTTAAGGACAACATAAATGGCAGATGAAATTTCACTGTGTTCCTTGTTTGGCAGAAAATTTCAGTATCCTTAAATATAGCCTAATTCTGTAGACAGATTTGCTTTCATTCTCTTGCCTGTGCATATACACTCATTAATCCTCAGAGTACCTATGCACAATAATGGACTACTCAATATTTATCTCACTATTAGGGCCAATGTATTAGGTAGTTAAAAAAAAATATTGCTACAAGTCCTAAAATTTAGCTGCAGAAAAAAAAAAAGTAGTGTAGCTACAGGAATTTTCTAGGGGAGGGATTTGGGGAGAAGCAGAAAAACAGGTAAAGGACGTAACTGACTTGAATCTATAAAATCAAACTTAAATATTAGAAAAATTGTTCCTTCTGGGGAACTACTGCAGTCCAGCTCACTGTAAAATTGTATCCCAAAGTTTCCACACACCTCACCATACCATAGTAACTTCAAGTTGTGGTCTTGCACCTCTGCATCTTGGGCCTAAATGGCTATTCCTATTTACATCTCCATATCCCATCCCAAAGCTTTCCTCTTAATTCCTCAGTCTCTGACTGAACAAGACTGAGACAGGAGCTTCCTAGCTTTCTGTAAGCTACAAAAAGTAGATGACTGAAAACTCCTCTAGAATAGAGTTCAAAGTCAGGTCTCTATCTAGCCAATACGTTTCAAAGAATTTCAAACCCAAATGTAAGAATTGTCAAGGTTGACTGAAATTGTAAAAATTATTCAAATGTTGGAAAAGGAAAATATCAACACAAAGAAAGTCACCAAAAACATTTCATGATCAACTTTAAAAAACTCCTCAGATCTTATTTCTCACCCCAAAGACTTTCACAGTATGGCAAACTGACAAAAAATAAACTGAAAAATTAAGAACTGGTGAAGTAGGTTCCAGTCACTTCCAACTGTCAGAATACCATGAAAGAAAAATGAAATAAACACTAATGAAAAAATACTATGCTAGTATCTGTTTATATGTAGCCAGAGAAATATTAGTTAGACAATAAAGAAAGAATGAAAGAATGGATGCAGTGTG